TGCCCATCAATAGGGCCCTACCGAATTCATAGTCCATTTTGGTCAATTTCACGGTCATAGGATTTTATAAATTGTAAATTTCATGATTTCAGCTATTTAAATCTGAAATTTCGTGGCGGTGTAATTGTAAGGATTCTGACTAAAAAGGAGTTGTGTGGGGCAGGTCGCAAGGATTTATAGGTGGGGTTGCGGTACTGCTACCCTTACTTCTGCACTGCTGCCGGGAGCCCAACTCTGAAGGCAGAGCTGCCGCCAGCAGCAGCGCAGAAGTAAGGATGGCATCGTATGTTATTGCCACACTTACTTCTGTGCTGTTGCCTGCAGAGCTGGGCCCTTAGTCAACAGCTGCCACACTCTGGACACCTAGCTCTGAAGGCAGCAGTGCAGAAGTAAGGGTGGCATGGTATGGTATTGCCACACTTACTTCTGTGCTGCTGCTGGTGGGGGGCTGCCTTCAGAGCTGGGCGCCTGGCCAACAGCTGCCACTCTCCGGCTTCCCAGTTCTGAAGGCAGTGCAGAAGTAAGGGTGGCAATACCGTGACCCCCTCTAAAATAACCATGTGGCCCCCCTGCAACTCCCTTTTGGGTCAGGACCCCCAATTTGAGAAATGCTGGTCTCCCCCCCGTGAAATCTGTATAGAATAGCATAAAAGCACACAAAAGACCAGATTTCACGAGGGGGGAGGGACAAGTTTTCATGGACCATGATGCGTTTTTCATGGTTGTGAATTTGGTAGGGTCCTACCCATCAATATAACCATATCACCCCCTTTTTTGAATCCTTCCAATTGGTCCTCTTTCCCCATTGAATCACATTCAAGCTTCTTGCCTTGTTTTCAAGGCTCGGCATTACTCTGCCTCTCCTTACTTATCTCTCCTTGTCTCGTATTGTCTGATCTCCTGTCTTCTCTACTCAGCCAATGATGCTAACCTTAATATCTTGTTTGTCTGCTTCTCCTACAACAGTGCTTTCTTTCATGCCACTTCCTATATATCAGATGTTTTCCTTGGATGGTCTTACCCTTTCTGCATTCAAATCCCTATCAAGATCCATTTCTACTCTGATGAGTACAAAAAACTAGCCAGCTATATATCGTCATCATCATCAAGACATGATGGAACTCTCAAGATGTGCCCTATTATCATCTTGACCACTTACTCTTATTCTTGTACCTCTTTCTCTTACGCTTCATCTGTGACTGTTTTTCAGATTGTAAGCTCTTTGCGGCAGCATCTTTGCCTTTTTATATGTACAGCACGTACCATATTTGATGTGCTACTGTAATACAAATCATTGACAATAATGCAAATAGCCAGTTTAAGGTAGTAAAAGAGCATTCAGCTTTAAGATTTGCTATTTATTTATTTCTTTTTTTAATGCCAAATTGATTAGTCAGGTAAGTGGATATTGAGCTCCCGGGTGTTTTTGCTAAGGCTACACTTTCCTGCCCAAGAAAATTAGAGGGCATTTACAGAAATGGGTGAGCTGTGTTGTCTGATGTTATCACTCACATGTCACACATGTACATTCTTGCTGGTTGACAGCTAGCAATGTGACTTCCATGCTCCACATCTTCTGTTTGGCATCTCAAAGGTTTGCTTTCACATGTGTCAAGATGTGCCAGTTTGTTTGTGGAATTCCTGTCATTATAAATGCTCTATCTGGTTCAATCAATATTTGTCTTCTGTGGAATATCAATGCTGTTCCTGCAATGCTTTCTTGGGATGCCATGAATTGTAATTATAAACAGTGCAATATATTGGTGGAATTATACATGCTTCCTAACATAAACCAGTTAAGGAACTACATGCATCACTTTCAAGGTATGCACAAGAAAAAAAGGATTTTTCTCATAAGTAGTTAATTTCTTACTACAGTTTTACACATGTTGCTATATATATAATGAATCCAACTAAAATTTGGGATTTTTTGCTCTAAACTTAAAAAATTCTAGTGTGTAAATCTTCTTGGGTGCAGAACAAGTCCAAGATGTTATTCTTTTGTGTGAAAATGCAGTTACCAAAATCAGTGTAATTTGAATGTGTCAGGCTTGTGATGTTTTTCAAAGTGACTCTACCGTTTCAATAGGGAGTTAAAGTAAAATACAAATATTGTCCACTGAGTTTCTGTGCTAAATTCCAGATTAAAAATTAAGCAAGCATTTTCTGCACTAAAAGACATGCTTTCTAGATTAATTTTAGTTTAACAGTGACTCAGGTGCTTTCTGTATTAGATTCTGAGCACCTAGCAGCTTGATACTCTATATTGACATTGCTGGCCAAGTTTGACTTTTTATAGTGCTAGATATTGCCACTGCTAAAGAAACAGGTCTGCATTTGTATAATTGTTTCACTCATTTAGAAACACTGAGTGGAGTCTCGAGTATTTTATTGGCTAAAGTTTGAGATAGCTTTGGCTATCTTGCTTTTATCTGTGCCAGTAAAAGCTGTGATTTAATTGAACAGATAGGTCACATGTCTGAATGAGCATAATTCTTAGGTTTAGATTTCTAGTGCAAATAACTGATCATGAATTCTAAATTTTTTTTCCATTAATAGTCTGCAAAACATTAAGATTCTAGAGAATACTTTTCAGTTAACAAGGGTATTTTAGTTATAGTTTAAAAACATAAAACTGCTTTCATTGTTTTTAATATCAGGGAATGCATCTGGGGCTCCTGATTCCCTAGCCACTGAGAAGTTTGGCAGATACAATATTCTGTATGACAGGATGTACTGATAGTATTATGCCGCTGGTCACATTTAACAATTTGGTAGGCTTGAATTGCATACCCTGTTTCTTACTGAGAAATGAGCTGGAATTTTTGTGGCCAATATAAAGGTGTAAGAGAGGAACGGGTAGCTGAAAAAGGACAAAGGATTTGATCTGCTGGCCCAACGTAGCATCTCTTCTTTTGTGTAGGACCAAGAGGGAGGGGAAAGACTTGGCCAGAGGAGAGAATGCAGCCTGATTTAGCAGTCTGCTGGGGAGTGGCACAAAACATTAGCCCCACCCCTTCAAGCTCTGACTGGGTCCACAAAGGGACTGCTTCTCCACTCTTCTGTCTGATCCATCAGAACAGTGACAGCATTGCCATTTGCTTCTGGCCAGTGCTTTGTGACCTCTCTGTTAATGCTGCTTTGAGTAGCACTATCTATTTCAGTTTTTTAAAAATGTAGGTTTTAGTCTATGCGGATTATTGTTCTCAGCTGCTTCCTGCTATTCATGTGATTTTCTTTCTGAGGGAATGGAGGCGGCAACATGGGTGTGGAAAGGAGGGGGTACCTAAATTACACACACACACACTCTTTTTTTTTTTTTTTTTGGGGCAGCTTTGCTCCATTCCATGCTGAGCAGTTTAATTTTTCTGAGAAAAATGAGTTATACGATTAGGGGAGGATTAACTTCTGATTTTCCTGTTGACAAGAGCTATGTTGTCTTTTGTCCATACAAGTCATTCCTGCGGCTCTAACGTGAATTACAAGTCTATGTGTGAAGGAGAATAGCACCCCTTCCCGCAATTTAGTTTGAATTTCTCTTATTGAAAGTTGAAAGGCAAACTCTTTCCCAGGGTTCTTTAACACTACTGCACATAAATAACTTGGGGACTGGAGAGCTTTTGTACAAGTTGTTTTCAGAACTGAGAAATGTTTAAGGACATTTAGCAGGAGGCTGCATGTCTAGTGGACTGAGCATGGGCTTGGGAATCAAGATCTTTTGAGTTTCAGTCTCAGGTCTGCCAGTGTCTTGCTGTGTGATGTGGCTCTTAGTTTAAGATTTGCTATTCTCAGCTTCCCTGTCTATAAAATGGGGTTAATAAGACTGATTTTTAATTACCTCACAGGGCTGTTCTGAGAATTAGATGGTTAATTGTTGTTTGTAAAGTGCTCTATAAGCAGAAGGGGCTGAATATGTTGTTGTATTACAGTGGGCCTGATCCTGCAGTCATGCTTTAGCAAAAACTCTGCTCACTTTCCTGGGAGTTTTGCCTGAATAAGGATTGCCGGATCAAACTCCTTTATTGTGAAAAATGTGTTGATAATAGTGTAGATTCATTAAAACTACCATTCCACAGCATTTGTTTTATATACAGGATAAGTCTTTTCCAACAAGCTCTTTAAAGGTGGGGGTAGAGGCGGGGAGGGTTTCAGTGACCTAGAAGTGGAAGACTTTTGTTCCTCATTAAACCATTTCTTGATGTTTCCCAATAGGTTTTCAACTAAACACTTGTTAATCCCAGAGCTCTGACAAGTGAGGCCTGCTGAATTAGGCCAATCACTGCTACAAATAGCTAGTGCACATGAAACAGTAATCATTGCTTTCCAGTCTATTATTAGATTAACTTCATAGGGATTGCTTTTTTCTCCTGTGAGTTGGTGCATAAATGATATGCCTTACCCTCCAATAAATCTAACAGCAGAGTGGCTATGACATGATGTTCATACCCCTCAGTCCCATGACAGATTATTTTTGATTGCTGCAGAAGTTTACAGCAGCTTGAAACCATTAGAATTTAAAGGCATCATTGAAATTTTACAGCATACCTGACTCATACACAACGCTGCTGGTACTGAGCTAAGTTTGTAGTATATTGGCTGCACGTTGTGATTGCCAGTCATAGTGAGTCTTGCTTATTTGTACTGATCCCCAGCCGTCATTTTGAAGAGGTAAACAATCATATGACACTTCTCCTCTGTGATCTCTCCTTGGAGAACATGTGCTTTTGTGAGTAATGAAGCTTTTTGAGATTTCCACCTTGGGAGAGTCATCAGTGTTAAACACTTGTGGGAACCACCTCATGTAGACAAAAAACCTCATACACTTATATAGATGAACAAATGAAAACATACCTTTGCCACTTATTAGCTTCTCCAGAGATTTTTAAACTGGTGATATCTGGTCAATCTGTATATTTAGAATTTAAAAAGCTATATTGTTAGCAGATGGAATTCTATTTCAATAACATATAAGTGCTTTTAACAGTGTGTTTTTTTTCCAGATTTAAGAACTTTGTTTTTTCCTGATGAAACCCAGATAAAGTTTGCAAAGCTCAAGACTCTTCAAATCCAAGGTGTTTACTACTATTTATATCTCATGCAAATGACTGTATTTGGCTCTAGTTATAAGCTTTGTTTAACTATTATTTTGTACAGCTGTATAGAATTTTGCTTCTTTAACCTTGAGGCTTGCATTTTTCAAGTAGCGAGACAGATGAATAGGAAGACGTATGCTGTCTATCCATCTCTGTCAGTATAGCTATACCTGTGGGCAGTGCTTAAAGGAGCCTGAAAAAAGTGTGTGTGTTGTGGGGGGGCGTCTGTCATCACCTCCACATCTGCCTGTCCCTCTGCCCAGCAATTAAATCTTCCCCAACCTCCAAATCAATCCTGTCCCCCAATTAATTCTGCTCCCCATCTGTTGAACCCTCCAGACACCCTTTCCCCCATGCCTTCTGCAGTTTCCCCCACTTCTAATGCAACTTCTTCACCCCCCCTCTCAAGTTTGGGGTGAGCTGCTTCAGGATCTCCTCTCCCCCTTACAAGGACAGGTATTTCTGGGAGGGATGGGGGAGAAATAGAGTTGCTCTCCTGTTGCTCATGGTGTTGGGTGGGAAGGGAATGTTGCGGAGCTGCCTTGAGCTGCTGGGCTCTTTCTGCTCCTCCCTCCCTCCCCTCCTGTGAGAATGGTGAAAGAGTTCTACCTGCTTCCTGCAGGAGCCTGATGGTCTGCTGTTCCTCAGGAGGTGGGCAAGTGGGGAAAGCAGAGACTCAAAGGGATTCCCCTCCCCACAGTACTAAAATTCTGTGCCTCAGTGACCCAGCTCATTTTTTAGAAATTTTATTCCCTAGGTCTGTGACCTGTTGCGACCCAACACACTTTAAGCACTGCCTATGGCTCTGTATATGCATTTATCTACATATTATATATAAAGTGTGTGTGTACACCAAACTAATGTAAAATTGGTCTCTAAATGTTTATATGCTTTATAATATGATTTCATTAATTTTGTTCACCCTTACACCTCCAAATTCCTAGCTATAACAACTTGAACAAGCAAGCCTGTATCTATAACTTTCTTGGGCCAAAATTAGTTGGACAGTAGCACTGTTATTACCTTAATGTGTAGTACTATAATATGTAGCATGATTTGTATCAGAGAGAAAGTTAACACAAAGGCCAATCTAACACAGTCCAGTGGTGGTTATATTGTTGATCGCATAGTATTTAGTATAATATGTGTAGTGCCATTGGTGTGGTACATGTGAAATTCTCTAGAGAAGAAAATCATGTATTTGCTGTAATTATGCTATTTCTTTTTCATAATACATATTAATTTCTAGCTTATAAACACCTATATATGTGTGCAGTTTCTATTACAATAACAATGAGTTAGGCATCCTGGTAAATTTTCAAGACTGTCCTTCAGTTTGTGAGAGTATTGTGATCACAAGCTAGCCTTTACTGAATATTTATGCACATCACAAAATCTGTATACTTTTTGGAATTATTGTTTTCTGCTTAACGGAGATTTAAAAAGTAGAATGAGAAATGGCATAAACAGAAATTGTATAACGAATGCTAAAGCTCCATCATTCTACTCAACAACATTGTGTTCACAATATGGATAAGGGGTCACGTGACATAGAATGATTTCACATATGTGCTATAATATTTAGGCCACATAATATTAGGTTAAATATAAATAAATAGGATGAATAATAGAGACTATTTGTTGAAAGGACATTTGGAATTCCTAAATGCAAATATTTATACAAGAAACCTGATTCTAAGAGTTATACTCATCCAGTCAGGGAACAGAAAAAATAGCTGGTATATGTTTAATCAAATCTGGTCAGCAGAATTTGAGAGTTGTGACTCTTCAGAGTTCAAGAACATTCTGCAGAAATTATTTGGGGGGAAATTCTCCCTTGTGAAGAGGACCAGCAGAAGCATTTATGTTGGACTTAAGTTATGCAAGCTACCTGGTGTGTATTTCACTATTAGTGAATAATTTCAAATAACTAACATAATTGAGAAAATTGTCTGCTACCTAAGGACAATTTGTGAACTGAAAAAGAGACTAATTTAATCTAATGTATGATTTGCTATGCATTAGTTCCAGTATGAACAAATCACTAGCAATATTTTTTATTTTCTTAAATTGAAATTTTTTTGTAATTGTATATTAAAAGTGCTTCTATAGACAAAATTTTAAATTGTCAAACTTTTTTTAAACACAAATACACTCCAAAAGCTTAGGCAGATACAGTATATTGCGTGTGAAATTTAGTATTAGGGCACATTTTTTCTAATGGGTTTGTTAATCTTGGAAAAACAAAAACTAGTTTTTTACAATGGGAAACTTGAACTAACACATACCTTCAATATAGTTGTACTATGGTACCACACTGTTGTAATGTTAGCAGGAGCAACACTTTTTTTTCTGGTTGTGGATATTTCTTTACTTTTTCATCTGCCTACTTCAAGCTTCTTCATTTTAAAAAAATGAATGTTGAAAACATTGTATCACAAAATCTTTAGTAGATGATGTAAAAGGTTCTGACAATACATGGAGCCATATCATTTAAGAGTTGAGCCATTTTCTTTTTGACCTGTGAGATTTAAACCCCAAAGGAACTAAAGATTAATTCACTGTTTTTACACCAGATGTAGCCTGATAACATGTGGGATAAATCTTTTCTGCACCTGTAGTACAATATTTTCCTTATGCTATAGCATAATACCTTGACTAATACCACAGCATCTTTCTTATGACTTCAAAGAAACCGAAAACCACATTCATATGGAAAACATTTTATTATTTGTAATTCTTAGCTTTGTATATATTAAATGTAATAACTAATGAGTTTAGTAGAATAATATGTATTACCATATGCGAGAAGCATGTCTCATAACTCATGTACACTTGTAAGAATTGTTAATGTTTGCAGTATTTGCAAGAACAAATCCATTCTGGAAATTATGTGGACGTATGCTTTCAATTGGGGTTAAGTCCAGCATTTGGTCGAAGTTTTCTCTGTATTTCTATCATCTCCTAATTCTTTCCAGAGAAAACAGTAATTTGTATCTTTGAGAGGAAAAAATGCTAATTGAAACCATGTAATAAAAAGGTAATTTAGTAAAACTATTAGTTTTTGTTTTTTACTCTTTTAAGCTTATTATTTTTAAAATTACTTTTGTATTAAAAAGGCTGTAAAACTAAGCTTGGTGTCAGCACATTGCATATTCAGGCACATTTTAATTCTCATTTTCCATTGCATGAATAGTAAAATCTTTATAAATTGGAAACTAAAATTAATTGAATAAACTCTCATTGAATGTTTTTATGTTTTTGCTAGCATTTTAAAAAAGCACATTGCAAACTTTTTTTCACAGCAAATGATGGTGCTTAACATTGACCACACCTCACTGAGATAATGTAGGGCAGGAAAAATAGTGCTGATGTAGGGGAGCAAATAACATCAAATGTTCAGTAGCAGTTCTCAGAGTTACTATGTTTATTTCAGTAATATAGCTGTTATTGCTGGTATCTGTATCTAAATTTTATTTCCCAACACAATACAGAATCCCTAAGGTCAACCGCCATGGCAGGCCTTAAAGCTTGGTATTCAGCTGGACTTGTCACTGTATGCGGACTGTAGGGTCTGCTCCTCAGTTTGTGCCGTACTTCTGCCTACTCATTAGTCTGTATTTCGGTAATTTGATATTCTGTTTGATACCAAAATTTTCAAACTTGGGGGCCTGTGGTTAGGCAGTAAAATACGTGATTTGACTTTCTGAGATGTCAGCACAGAACTCATTGTATAACACCTCAGAAAATCAGGTCATTTAATTAAGGGTGGAGGTATGCCTAACTTTAGGCAGCTAAATTTGAAAATGTTGGATTTAAAATTATTTGTAATCTTTGAGTTAACTATATTTTCTTACAGCAATCACTTAAGGAATAATCACAAATGTAGTTTTATAATGAACATCTAAGGCCCAATTCAGCAGAACACTTAAGTACATACTTGCCTATGAGCAAATAAGTTGTGCCATTGAATGTCAATGAGACCATTCACTTGCTTAAAGCTAAGCATGTGCTTAAATGCTCTGCTGCATTGAGGCTTAAATTCTTCAAACCTCCTATTTTCTTAATTGTTAGAGCTCTGTTAGAGCTTTTATACTGCTACTGTTGTTACTACTACTATATATTTTACAGCAGGCGCTGAAGTGGGATAGGGAGTAGGAAGTTATACTCATCAGTGACTGTTGCTAGAGGCATTCTGTCTGTGGAATACTGAAGGAGACAGAATGCTGCTAGGGCAGCTTGTTTAGAAGCAGCTTTTGTACCTCCTTTTAAAGGTGTAAAGTGTTTCCTGTAGCACCAGCCACCAACTGATGTGCAGGAGTGGTGAGGCCCTGTCCTTTCCTCCACTCCCCTAAACCTAGGGTTACCATATCTACAAAATAAAAAAAGAGGACCCTCCACGGGCCCTGGCCCCGCCC